TCACAAAGTAACTAGTATAGTAACTTACTTTTTTATATTAACTTACCCAACACTGGTTATTCTGTATTTATGTATGTTTTATTATATGCTATTCTGTATTACAATACTATTGCTTAGTAGGTATTATTATATTTTTTATAGTTGTCTTTTTAGAATATTTGAAAGTGACTTAATTTAATTTGTAGGTACTGGTTTGTAATAGCCTTGCTACTCAGGTTTGTTATCTCCCCGCCATTCATAATACCAAATACATTGTATAAATATAAAATAATAAGTTTTTTTAACGATAGATATAATATTAATTTGAAATATTCAAATTTAAACATTGTTTGATTGAATATAATTTAATAAATACATATTTTAAATCATGTTAATATTAAACTGTAGTTGAATATTGTTAATACATGTCTCATTTAATAAAAAAAAATCTAGGTACATTATTATAATTTTTATTCTATTCCATCCTCTAGATTTATAAAATAGTACTTTCGTTTAGTAACTGCCTAGAAATCATTGTAATGTATGTGTGACAAAACAGTTGAACAATATGCTATAAATTATAATAATGTATAACATATAATATTAATATTTTTTAGGGCTTTTTAAGCTTAAGCTCTTAATCCCCCCGGGTGCGCCACTATCGGCCTAAATACAGAGAAACTTGATGCAGTGTTCCAGTGTCTATTGTCTATACTCTCTAATAGTGTACACACTATTCCCCATCAACTAAACGAAACCATTATACACGTTACACGAATCGCCTTGTTTTTTTTTCATGTTTTTTCATGTTTCGTGTAATGAATTTGAAATATTTAATATTATAATATCACTCTTCTTGAAATATTCCAATAAAATTTAAAATCATAAAAAATATTTTTTTCTTTTATTCGGATTTGAATATAGATGATTAGAAATGATTATTAATTACTAACAATTAGTATTAACTTCTTACTAAAAATACACACAAAATATCGATAATGAATGACTTATCAACGAATCTAGGAAAAAAAGGCAATTGAAAAAAAAGCAACGGAAAAAAAAGTAATGAAAAAAAAGCAAAAGGAAAAAAAAGCAAAAGAAAAAAAAACAAATGAAATAAAAGCACAAGGAAAAAAAAGCAAATGAAAAAAAGGCATAGGTACCTACAGGCATAAGTGTATAACGTATAAGTATAGCAAAAATGTACACCTAATAAGTTAAAATAAAATTTCAAGTATAAAATTAAATGCATATTGGATTAATATTGCGTCAATATAAAACATAAATTTATCATAATATAATTTATAGTGTAAACCTTGTGGTATGAGATATGGCTAATAAAAAATTTGGTAGATCACGTTGCTTATCTCTATACTCTTCACATATTTTTTTTAAATTGAATTGCATTTTTTCATACTTCTTAAGTTTTTTTTTTGGTTGCACTGTGCCTAATAACCGTTGCTGGAGTTTTGTCTCATCGGCTGCAACTTCCAGTGTCATTTTCTTAATGAGGTTCCAAATAGAAGGGTGCTTATGGCTTACCAACTTAGAAAATCGATTATTGAAACCTTCAGTTTGGTTATTTGTACGCTCGATATTATGTAATGTACTTTCGTGTACATTCCAAATTTCAGGTGGAAAAAGAGGTGGTACTTTTCGGAATTTCAATTTATTTCCTTGGCCAATACGTCTGTATGTCCCATTTACGTAGGTTTGATCAAAATATTCCACCAAGTCATGTGCTTCTTCGGGCATGATTTTACGTAAATGAGACATTCCTTCAAATATGTCAGATACCGGCAAAAAAGCCAAACTATCAACTTGTCCACAAAATAACATGAACTCATCATTTTCACGGTACAAATTTTCCAAACCAAGCTGCTGGATTTTCCTATGCGTGCTTTGTGTTAAATGGTAATAACAACCTTTAACTTCTGAATGTTCACCAAAAACATTACGAATAGCTTGAATAATGGCCTTTTCAAAATCTACATGAATATGAGATGGATCAGGAAAAATGTCTCTCTTTTCACACTCAGAGATAATGGCTTTGAACATTACTTCGTAAGTTGATTGTGTTTTTCTTTGAAGTAAGCAAAAAGCAGATGTAACAAATATATCATTTATCTATATAAAAATAAAGCTAAATTAATTTAAGTACCTAATAATAAGTACCACTATAACACTACAAGCTTAACATATTAATATATTCTATTTTGTAAAAATATGTTTATATTAAATTGGTTTATATTAAATATTTTATGTGTGACTGTCGATTGAGGATTTACTTTATAAACAATGTTTTGAAGTACTATAGTTTCTATAAATATTTAAATTAAAACAAGCCCGGATTAAGGGGGGGGCAAGGGGGCACTGTCCCAGGGCCCATTGATTTTGGGGCTTATCTTTATCCCCAAAATATATAATACAAAATTATTCTCAATCTTATACCACGAAAAATTACTATAGATAATGAACTAACTATGTTTTCCAACAATTTTGTTTATGTTTTTTTTTTTTTTTTTAATCCAGGCTTGAATTTAAATTTAAATTGAATATTATAAAAATATTATAATACTATAATATAAATATTTACCTTTACTCTTATAACATAAAGTTGTTGAAAAATCACTGGGGCTAGAGCAAAATTTCCATCCATCATCCAAGTTGAAGACTTAGCAAGATTTAATAATTCTTCATCGGTTGCAAATATGACAATTCTTTCATCAGCATTACATTTGCCATTTTCGTCAACGATTCCATTGTCATACAATAAAAAACGATGTCCATCAGAATTTATCGTCCAGGTGGCTATCAAAATGATTTAAAATACTAAAAATAATCTTAACTATCATATTATAATAACTACTTACGTGGTATTATACAGTCTTCTAAGCTTTTTGGATCGATTGGATTTCCTTTTGACCGGTGGTTACGTGAAGTTCTCTTGACTGTATCCTCAGATGGCATTTGAGCCTTTGCTGATTTATCCAATTTTGATACACCATTAGCAAATATTTCAACAAGATTTGTAGTTGTTGTGGCTGTATGTATTTATAAAAAAAATATTTTATGTTTACAATCTACATAATATTATTATTTGAACTTATAAACGCTCATGAATATTAGGCAAAATAATTTTAAATATGTAGAATATTGTTAACATTTCCAGAAAAATGTAAAAAAAAACTATTGACTAGCTTTTTTATTCTCAACTCAATATAATTTGCTCATTTTCGTGATTTTTCCGTATTTTGTCAAAATTTGAACTTTAAATACTTATAAATAAAAACTGTGACAAAGATCTTGAATATTTTTCAAATGTCATAGTAACAATTTAGTAGGATCCTTGTATTAAATTTTCAAGCTTTTTTACCCGACAAAAAAAGTTTTATCGACATTCATAGAAAAAAATACTAATGCAATTGGAAACACTACTAATGAGTTATGACATGTTATGACTATCCAATTAATTAACATACTAGGTATATATTATATATTATCTATATAATATAATATAATATAATATTTATATATGTACTTACATGATTTTTCTTTCATATTCATCAACGCTTTGGTTACCATAACTTCCTTGCGATTTGGTAAATGATTATGACGATGAATTTTTTCATATTCGGTTATTTGTTTATCCGTACTTAAAACTGCTGGACACTTTAATGAAGACTTTTTAGAACATCGCCATTTAATTGTTTTACTAGTTTCGTAGTATAATGTGTACATATGACCATCAAGACAAACTTTGTCATTTTTTTTGTTAGATTTAATTATTTCCATTGTTGCTGGTAAAATAATAGAACATTCGAGAACACAGCATAACAACGTACTAACATATTATTGCAAAAATACCAATATTATAATATTACTGTTGATATTTTATCAATTATCGAAAACCTGAAAACCTAAATACCTACCTATCTCATTATCTGTCTTTGAATCATTATAAGATAAGTTTGAAATATGATTTTGACATTTTTATTATAGTCGTATCATTTGTCAATTGTTGTCCTTTACGATGTGACGAGTCATATAGGAGGTATATAATATCAAATAATCACTTATTTAGTGACCAAGTGCCACGTTGTTTCTAATCATTTGTCGGGGAAAGCGGCACGAGCTTCGACGAGCGTCCGTAGTACCTACATATTACATATTAAGTCAAACTGGACCGCCACAATCATAATAAATCACATCCAAGCTTTTAACTAAATTGTATGTAAATAGGCAACTATTACATATTATTATACTTAAAGGAGGAACATTTTTTGCTTCTCTCCTTAAAATGGTTTGCTATACATAACATATTAAGTAATGGTTAAAAAAAATAATTAATAAATAATATAAAACCTTTTAATGGGGGAGAAGATAGGGAAAAGGAGGAAAGGGCTAAGCTACAAAAAAACCACGTATATATTTTACACTTCTCACTGATTAAGTAAAATATTGTAATTATCTTGAGTTATTAAAATTCTTTTTAAAAAAAAAACAAAAATGTGCGTCGTTTGCTTTTTTTTCCTTTAGCTTTTTTTTCAAATGCTTTTTTTTCCGTTTGCTTTTTTTTCATTTGTTTTTTTTTCCGTTTGCTTTTTTTTTACTGCTTTTTTTTCCGTTGCTTTTTTTTCAATTGCCTTTTTTTCCTATTACCCTTATCAACCAAGGTTTGCGTAAGTTTATGTCTAAAAACGTTTAGATAATAAAATGTAGGTAATAAGTAATAATTCGTTATATTATTGATATTTGATACTAGTCCAATTTCTAATATCAATATGTATCGTATTATTAATACTTTTAGATTTTTGTAATAATTTATTAATATTGTACAATTCGACAAAATAAAATATTTTGTGATGACCGTATCCACCTTGGCCTGATTTTCATTTTCCTTCGTAGCCATTCTCTCTCTTATCATGCAGGTCGGCTCATGTGATAACATCGTATGTTTACGCCGCCCAAACATATCAGCCAATGGCGTCAACGTCAACAAAGACCACCTCCGTTTTTTCTTTCAGCTATCATATTATTAATATTCCTTATAGGTATTATTCTCGTACTCTCATACTTTTAACTTTCAAGTCTCATTATCTTCACTCATTAGTCATTCGGTGGTTCGGTCCACTCGCGCTTTGCGCAATAGTGATTAATATTTTTTTTGTGTATATATTGTAAATTATCGTATCATAGCGTTACCCTTTGCGTCATCTTTACACTGTGTAATACATTTAATTAACCTGTTGTAATTTAATACCGTATTGGTGTAATACCTTAAGTAAAATCGTTCGGTTTAATCGAACCCAAGCATTATATTACCTTTGTTAATAAACACACCTTTGTAATCTATTTCAAGTTCGAAGCTTTTCGTTATACAAAGAATACTTTCAGATTTTATTATTCATTGTAAGTACACTACTTGTATATAATGTATACTTAGTACTATCCATACTGACTCGGTAGGTGTTCATTGTGCCGCTCAAATTAGTCATCACATTCTCACTCACTAATAACTATATAAGAAAACAGTGACTTACATTAAAAGAAAAGGACGACTCACTAATTAGGTTTACAACAGATAAAAAAGAGATTAAATAGGTATTTGTTATTACTTATTAACTTTTAATTTCTAAAACATACTCATTTGCCTTACTATTACACAAATCAGTAAACCTGTGTATTGGTATAAGTGCAATAGGTATTATAGTAATTCCCTGGATTTATAAGCTCTACAAATTTCAGAGATATGCACTTAAAAATATGCATTTATGCTCTTATTTTGTAGGAAAATAACCTATAAGATAAAAAATATGCAATTTTGTAGTTATTTCAACTTAATGTAATTTAAATCTGAAAAGTTAATATTTAAATATATATAAATTAAATCAATTGAAAATAAATCACTCAGATCACGACAAACACAACTAATGTTTGATACACGAAAACCTGCTCAATAACAGATTACTACTTGTCCCGATAGGTCTCAAATAAGATAAAAAAAACGACTTCGTCAAATTACATGGACAGTTAATATAACTATAAATACATTATTTTAATTAAAATAAGAAAAATATTACATAATATTATGCATTTTAAAACCGTATATATACAATAAAAAAGTCGTAAAATACTGAAATATGCTGTACATGTCAAAAAATTACAGAATATGCAAAATAGAACTTTCTATTACAGATCTATTGAGTATAATTCAAACTTTTAACTACATAGCTATTTTTTGGACTGCTCAGGATAAACATGCAAATACATATAATTCCGGGCCCTGGTAATGAGTATTTATTAGGCGTGTCTAGACTTATTTTGCATATCTACCCAGAAATATTTTTTTTTGGTTAATCTTAATTTGCAGGACTGGCCATTGCCCAAAGTGGCCAGACCTTTTACACCCCTTTGATACCTATGACAATATGATTATTAGTACAGTGTCATAATCATACTGTATCTTTTGGTCAATCAACAACCTTTGTACATTGTATTAGTAGTATCATAATTATTTGCCCTCTTATAATAGTATTAATTCTAGCTGTCAGTGAGATCAATTGGTTTAGTATCATCACAGCTGTCAAAATGGGTATTACAAAGAGGCCTGCTAGCAATTGCAGTGATGAAATACTCCCAGTCGATATCGATGAAATGTAAGTACTTAATACTGATAGAAGCTATCTGCATTTCTACTATTATTTCATTCCAGCATCTATATGCAATTATAAATTCATGTATAACCCATGTTTAAAATAATTTAATTTTAAAGCTATTTTAACACAACATTACTACATTATTGTTTAATTAGACTTTTGGCTCATTAAGCTACATGGTACTAGAGTTACAGCAGGCAAGTCAAACACTCAGCTTCTTGCTCATATTTTTAAGTCTCATGGATAACAGTTATAATAATTAATAAACAATTAATGAAGACAATAAAAATTGTACAATTTTGCTTTTGTGTCACAACTATGTTACTTCTCTGTCTTATCTTTTGATAAACTGTAATTGAATAATTATTGTACCTACATAGTATTGTAAATAAAAAAACATTTTAAATGCAAATGCTTTTGAAAGACAATATTCTGAATACATTTTAAAAGTATTCTTAACAATACTGAATTAACCATGAATTAACCATATGTATTATCAAATGAAAGTTTATTAAAATTAAACATTTATATTGTCATTATAGAGTGGAAAATACTATTTACTCTACTACCAACAGTGATGCCAGTGATGAATCAGATTATGAAATGATTATGCCATCTGTCACCATAGTTGATTATTCAGCTTACTACAGAAATCTCTGCCCTGAATTAAGGATTTCCTACAATGTTGATAATTCAGATGCTGATACTAAACCAGTATCATATAAGAAAAAAAATATTTCTCAAATGGGACGCAAGAAAGCAAATCGTGCACAAAATGGTAAACTTATAATTTGTATTTGTCAACTCGTTTATCAAATAATTGCAAATACTTTATCAAATAAAAATATGGTATGTAGATTCTATTATGGATATAAGTTATAAAGTTTTAATTATTTCTATTATATTATACCGCCCATCGTTGTAATTATCACATTAGTATTCTTAGAATGAATATATTACAGCTTTCAAACCGATGCGTTTCTGTTTTTGTTCATATTATAACCATCACATTATTAAATTTGATATTAATAATTTCAATTTATTTGTGCATTAGCTAGCAATTTTCATCATACTACCGGCTCGTCAATTGAACTAATAGATTTAATATAATTTATTTTGTATGATGGGTTGTAAAGGGTGACATATCCATAAGTCATTGCCCAGAATTGAGAGATTGCGTTAATTGTTAATTTCAAATAATTTTAGTTTTTACTATGAATCATGAGTAATTAATTCTACGGTTTTATAAAAGTATTGAAATTTAATTCAATAAAAATAACATAAAAAATGTTTTGAAATACTGATACTGACAATACCACATTTAAATTTAAAATGTAAACACAATTAAAATGTATTAACACAGGTATAATTATTTTCAGAAAATTTTCTTCTGGCTCTGAGCGATGAATATGAAGATGAAATATTTTGTAATGACAACAAAAACGGATTCATTAAAGCAATCAACAGGCTTTCGACTCAGCCTGATGTACGTATCGTATGATCTTATGCTGCTCCAATTTAAATTACGATGAAGAATAATTTAAAATTATAAAGTGTTTATCTTTAATTATTTAGCCAAGTTATAGCAGCACCTGATAAGTTAGTTTTGAATATTTTAAATATTGTGATTTTGTTCATCGTGTATGACAAGACGGTTTTGTTTTTACTATCTAATCATTTATTTTTTTATTTAATTTAAAGTAAACATCCTTCCCCCACAATAAATATATAGTCTTAGTGCATTTTTTGTGGATAGGGCGATAATGTGTGGTATAATTATATAACTAGTCTATAATAGAGAATAAATTAAGAAGATGGTGACTGTCATTTGTTGTCTCCGCCTTGCAAGTCCGTAACATAGCAAATGTGCGCTTGGCAGATCATATGTAGATTTGTTAATTTAAAAACTAGAGTGAATCTATCATAAGACTTGATTTTAAGAACATAAGCTATAATTTTATGTTGGTTTTTTATGATACTAAAGTTTTTAAGTGAGTTAAGAGCATTTTTAATTTATGCTATATTATATATGATAATCTTCCTAATAAATCGAATTATCATAAAAAATCTACATTCAAAAACAAATCGTCTTCTTACCATTAAGTTTTAAAGTAGGTGAATTGACTCTCATTTTTAAGCTAGCGGGGCTAAACGTGATCTGCTGATGGTAAATTTGCTCTGTTACGCACTTGTACAACTGATACACATCAGTAAAATTGTATTGTTGTTTATGTAAAACAAAACAACAATACACTTTTAACATATTTTCATAATATTTATACTAATTTTTTCTATGTATTTTTGATTACATATTATTTTCTCTACAATTATTCTTTTATAAATGAATATTGTTTGGAGTATTTTGATATGTAGAAATCAAATTTCAGACTAGTAGCTCATGAGTTATAAGGTTCTTAAAAGTGTTTAAAGTTTTAATGAGAAGAGTAGTAGACCAACATTTTGCGGGGTGCCGCTGTTACATACCACTTCACTACTTAAATACTTAAAAGTTATAACTCCTAAACTACTGGTCCCAAATTTGGTTTTTACACATCAAAATACTCCAAATAATTTTCTGAATGTGAAATTAAAAATTTATATTTTTGTACTAAAAAGTAAAAGCTTTTAAAAAATATTTTTTAAAACATGAATAGTTTTTAAAATATTAAGTGATTCGCGAAAAAAAAATCACTTTGTATACATACAGCTTTCATGAATTAGTATCATATTCTTATATTTGTAACTTTTATTTTTTAATTTTTCGCTGACATTATTCCAAATTCCAAAATATATTAAAAGAAAAAGTTTACCTTTGTAAACTAGATTTTAATCACCTTTGAAAAAGATTAAAATCATAAATTAGTTCCAAACGTTTTAAATTTGATGTTCTTGTTTACCATACAACATTGGATTACTTGAAAATAATATAATATTCAGTGTGTTCCACTTATAAGTAACACAAAGTATTTCAGTCGTATGAAATAATTGAAATGGGAATTTTTTTTAGATTGTTGGAAGTACAAAAATACACATTATAAAACAATTAATACACAAAAAAATTTTTATTTTTTTTAATTCAAAATAATATATTATATTATGTACCAAATTTAAATCGCCCTTTTTTATTCAAGTAACTGATAAATACATTTTTATTTTTCTTATATGTAGTACAAATTATTAGTAATAATAAAAATATATCATTATGTTATCATTTCAATCTTGTCAAGGTCTTCCAGCTGAAATATTTTGATTTACTATCTTAAGCGAATGCACAATTGTTGTTCCCATTACCCAAGCATACTGAATATAAATTATTATTCAAAAAACATTTTTAATGCATTATGTTGTTATTAATTTTATCTTATGCATTGATTATAGTTGAAAGAATCATTTATTGAAGGAAAAGACGAACTCATACTACCCAAACGCAATAAACGTTCTGCTGCTGAAATGAAGGCTGAAAAAAAGTCAAAACGAAGCAATCGCCCTGATTTGGCATTTAAAAATCTGACTACATCACAAAAATCCCTATTCAAACAGAAAAGTTTACCTATTGTAAGTTGTCACTAATTCATATTCATAATAAGCTGTATTTAAACACATAATTATTACCTATATAAAATTGTCTCTTGTATGTAATTTTAATTTACAATTTATTATTATTTATTAGTTGTGTAAAATTGAACATAATGCTGCAACAAGCTGCAGGGAAAACATACTATATTAGTACTGCCAGTATTTTGTACATTATCTCTATTGTACCTATGTTTATAGATTACTTAATAATTATTAATCATAAACATGATTTCTAAGAGGTTTAGTTTATAAAAATTTCGAAACACGGGTACCGACAGTTCTGTGAAAACATTTATCATGCCGCGCTGTCAGTTTTTGTTGGACGAAAATATAGAAATAATCAGCCCTTTCCATAAATAAAGTGTTAATTCTTAATTTATATAAATCTCAATTGTAAATAAAATAAAATTGTCTGTATTTATAAAAAAAATAGTAATTGATTATTTCAAAACTAAATTCCATAAAAATGATTTTTTTTTTGATTTTGTCATCAGATGACAATATTTTTATTAATTGCCGCTGAAAAATCCACATTAAAATTTATTAATTTTCTACATAAATACTTCTATATGTATAAAAGCTTAAGTCATACTAGTAATTTACTAATAATAAACATTAGATTCAAGATTGTTTGTTGTTATATTTTTATTGTTTTCTAGGCTGCTATAGATCATCTGGAAACTGAAGTTGTCCGATATTTTTCACTTGTACCAAATGGCATTTACACATCTCCTCCATTGCCGAGTTATAATCGAATGCTGCTACACAGTATCGTCCGTTACTATTCATTGGATGCCATGAGTAAATAACAAAAAAACTAAGATACAAATGTCGACAAGCTTTAATCTTTGTACATTTATGCTAATGTCTTCATTCAATTACCCTACAACATAACATGTTTAGGGCTAAAAAATATTAAATTAAATACCCTCTTATAATATATTTTATTCTTAATTGTATTTGTTTTTAGGTGTGAATAGCCGTGGTCGACGTACCCAAAAAATAGTACAAGTACGCAACAGTCGTTTTGACGATTTCAAACCACCTCATATGAGCCTGTTAAAATACATATCAAGTCAAAACAGCCGTTGATAAACAACAAATGGCCATCAAAATTGGATCTAATGACTATTGGACAAACACAGATTTTTTATTTAGATTAATATAATATAATAATAATATATTAGACAAGTTTTAATTTTTTTTTTTGCATAATTTTCACGTTAATAATATTTATTACCATTTAATTTATAACTTTAGAGATATTTGGGCAGAAGACATGTATTTTATTTATTTTATTATTGACCGAACTATCATATTATAAACATAATTTATATCAAATAACTTAACATATTTCTTAATATAATATTATATTATATAATTTGCTTATATTATTTTGAATTTATTAGTATATTATTATATTATATTATACGCTTATATTTTGAATTTATTAATATATTATTTATAATGATATCTATCAATGGGCTTGGAATTTAATACATTTGCATATTTCTTAGAAAATTACGTATAATTCATCGCAACTTTTTTTATTAATAATAATAAAAAAATGCATATTTTATAAAAAAAAAAATCTTCATAAAAAATAATTCCAAAATAATTTTCAGAATGATTTATCATTGAATTCATATTTTAAAGCTTTTTTTTAAGCTTACGAATGTACATATTTCATTGAATTTATTGAGCTCCAAGTCCTGGATATCAACAAAGGTTAGGTTTATACACCATTTACACTTTGATATTATCATGTAATTACTGGATACAATATATTTCATTAGATTTATAATTTACTTGCATTAAATAATCAATATTGTATATGATAACTAGGACTTTGAAGTTATTGCATTTGCATACTTTTTTATATTTGCTTATTTATTTCTAAATAAGCTACAAATCCATTTGATGCAAATACGAACTTTTTATGACAACTTTGCAATTTTCATTATTTTTTGGGTATACAGTAGAATTCGCTTTATAGGAACAAATTTTCATAGTCCGAATGAATGTTTTATTAACAAAATGTTATTCAGTTAATAGGGATAGACTGTTAATGGGTACAAATAGGTCACCTCCCTGGGTCCAAATTAAGCGAATTCTACTGTACTGTAAATTTTGAACTTTCTAATTGTACACATGAATTTTAGTGATAAATTAGTTTGCTTCTATAAAAATACATAAGTTTAATTAAGAAAAAATGAAATTAATAACCTGTAATATCTTCATTCTTTATTTAGTATGTATGTATGTTATTTCAATGATTTTACAATACAAGTCTATAGTTGTTTATTCCAACAATGACAAATGTACCACAAGAAATTTGAAATATACATTCAACTGATATTCTCGTTTTTAAATATTATTGAGAAGTATTAATATTATCAAAAGCTGCTTTGTCTTTTAATTTCTGTCTCATCTTCATGGAAGGAAATAAATGTAGGGGATAAGTCCCCCTCAAAAATGTCAATAACTCTCACCTCTTCTAACAAAAAATTCCTTTATTTTTGAAAGATTATTTGTTAGCCACCCTCCCTTAATATTAAACTCTATTTGCTTATATGCTTGTCAGGTATTCTTATGACTAAAAGTTAGCTGTTATGCTGTTTGTTACGACATGTTAGTTTTGGTTATGTTGAATTTTCATTAAAATACTAGCAAAAAAAGTTCTTAAGACAATTTTGATATTTTTCTGCAATATTGCAATCAATTTTATAAATTTCTTTAGTGCAATAACTTCCAAGCTCTAATGTTAGAAGTACTTATAACACTAGGAGAATTCTTTAGCAATACTGTAGAATCACAATTAGGTATATTGTGCCAATTTTATTTGTGTAACATTAAGTATTTACCATTACTAAAATGATATAATTTGTTATGTTATCACCATGTGGTCGGTAGGTACATAATGAACTTGGTTTTTTTATCTCTTTTTGGATAATTTTATAATAAAGTACTCAATTTAGTGGTGGTTTTGTGGATGAGGCACCACCTAACTTGTAACTAAATTTAAAAAAAATTGTTTACTTTATATTTCTTACTATTTTGAATTTTATTCGTTCGCTTTAATTTAAAATGTTTTATGTATAATAGATATTAGATGCATTATAGATGAACAGCAATTTATATATTTAATTTTTTTTGTTAAAGATAAAAAATGTGTGGGAAATATTCTATTAAAAATATCTAACGTTAACTATGAAAATAATCTTTTATGAATTTCTAACCGAAAAAAATGTAGAAAATTAGAAATAATTCTCGTGACTATAAACAGCACAAAATGGGGTCTAAATAGTTAAAACATTTTACCGCATGTGGAAAATGTTAATATTAGTATTTGGTAAAAAAAAAAAGCTAACGAACTCCGATTGTGTACGACTATTGTTTTGGCTTAAGACTGTTTCGTAGAGGGAATCTCGTGAGCGAGAAAAACGAGTTACGATCGACCGCCATATGGCTTATGCCGGTGGTATAGTTGAAGCTCGGTGTAAAAAAGTGTACAGTCGTTGCTAAATAAATTGGTACGACCGCGGCAGGGGATAACGGAAAACCAGAGGTTCTCCGTATTTTGATGTTATTACCGAATACCAAAATATAGTGGTGTAAGTTAGTAAATACTAAATCCATCTATAATAATATATTCCATAATTTCCATATCACACAAAATCAATGAATATTGTCATTGTCTGAGGAGGTGGTTTATCTTTTACATTTATGTAAGCAACTTGGTGGAGCGTGAAAGCTGCCGAAAGTCGAAACGCACCGCCACCGCCATATCAATTTATCTTGAAACGACTGTACACTTATTTGACCTCAAGCGCTCAGTTGAAATCATTGATCCAACTGCTGATATCTTTGTTTTTATTATCTATGATCTAAACAGACCTTACTGCACCTATTACACTAGGTACGAAGTACCCACATTAGATCAAATAGCATCCTTAAACGAACTCCTGTTTCATCGTTTTCCCCAGTTACCAAATTTACATGATTAGTATTATGTAAATACTGACGATGCCTGATAAGTTATGTCTTCGGTGTTTCTGTATGAAACCTTTAAACGGTTTTAGGAAACTTCCGTGTGAAAGGAATTCAAGGCTTTTGTGTCCAACCGTCCGCCGTGGGTGATGTTTGATTACTTTCTATTGATTTTGTAATCAGAGCTCTTAATACATGTGTAGAAATCTGCGATATTATATGATATACGACTATACAATACGGTCTGAACAAGGGTTAAGAATAGATACAAATGGTCTGCAAGCCACTTCGAAAATAGACTGTAGTAGGAAAGATGAATCATAAATACGAGAATTCTGGAATGATATAAACGACAAGGTATGATAGTAATATTTGGTAAATATAATATCATGAATTTCAGAATTCATGATATAAACAAAAAGTTATGGCTTATGATCATAACTTTTTGGAGTTGGGGAAATTATAACAGAGTAATGACTTACAACTAATAATAACTTAAAAAACTTACTAATAATAATTTAAAGCAATAATATGATCAAGTAAGCAAGTGACGTGTTGCTCGAATTTCAACCAAATTTGAAGTTTTGCGAATTGCGATCATACCAATATACCATAATGTTGTAATTTTATCATAATATTATCATGATGAATATAAGATAGGTACTATCTATCGGCGATAATGTTCAAAGTGGGCGAAACCGTCGACGACTCGGATTTTCAATGGTGTATACACTGTGCTTTGTCAATGGTATTCACTTTGCTGTGTTATGTATTATGACAAAAGCCGAGACGGCCATTCATAACCTAACCTAAAAGTTTTTATCGTAAGTTTTTCCAACATTTAATAGGTATTCAGTATTGCATGATGGTATTCATCATGGCTGGTTATTATTGGCGAATCGTCACTATTCATTACTAATTATTATGCGATATGACGTACCTATGTAATATAAAAGAACACCGCTTGACCCGCCGATTGATTTCACGAGACACCAAACGTCGAATGCTCGCATGCGATTGGCTGACTTTTACGTTTGTACCACACAGGTCTATAAATATTTAGGTCAATGGTCTGAACTATTAAACAAAGTAGTTGATATTATTTTCGGTAGGGCTACGGATCGGCAGTTCTCACGTAACTTATTGTCGTGTTCCCTATAATATTATGGTAAATTCCTATTCTGATCAGCTGTTTCTGCCCGGAAATGTCTTGAATTGTGCCGAGTTCAGTTTTTTCACACAACACGAGAGATGTCCTAGTTAACCGAGAAGTGCAAACCAAAGAGTAGTTACCCTTGTGAGTCGTGAAGACAAAAATAGTGACTTAGGGAGAGGTGGTGCAAAAACGGAGGTTATATACTGATGGAACCTGCTAATGCTTAGGTTGTGCCCTACTGGCGGAAGTTCAACTGGCGAGTGGGTTAAGATTGACAAACATCGATTGAACGATGATCATATCAGACAGCGGTGATCCAGAAAGTTGTTAAATAAATGCCAGATTTCCAGGCATGGGACATTATATAACTTCTTTGGGGTCCGACCGCCAATAGAAAATATCATGATACAAGAGGGGGACGGTGATGATCTACAAAGCGTGACTAGGAGTAAGCCGCGATCCGCTGCCACGAGAAGCGGGGCTGCGTCTAGTGCAGTAAGCTTTTTACATACTACGATACCGACAAAGAGAAATTAAATAGCAATAAATACCAACTTGAACACGTCTAAAATAGCGTTACTCGTAGCTACAAGTAACTGTAAGCTTTGTCGGCGCTCGATGTTGTTATACCTGCATTCAACACTATATAATATTTTGCAGCTATGAATTGTGTCGCGTAATCGCATTGGATAGTAAAAGTACTACCGTCGTACGCGCCACCGTCGGTACTGTGAGAAACTACCAACTACTAACTAGTACGAATTCATCTGCTCCGTCGTTGAGTCTCCTGTCGTTATGTTAGCCATCTGTCGTTTTCTATCGTTCTGAATTACGTAACTATCGTTCTCGTCAGCATATTCCCGCATCGCGAATATACGACTACCGAGGGCTGCCACACACCACCATAACAATTGTGAGTATTGTATTGAGTATTTTTACACACCCTAAATCGCTGTTTAGAGTTGCACCTTAACGGAATAATTTTTTTGAACTTGATACTTCCACCTTTTAGCAACTCGGTTTCTTTGAGTTTCTAACCTAATAAAATTGTCGTTATTCTCTATCGCACCCACTCGAATATTATATATACATCACTAGGGAATATGGGTGTGTACCGCACATTGCGGTTCTTGATTTATGTTCGTCACTTTTAAATACCTAAATTATTTAAGTATAATTCATATAAGGTTCGTAATAAATTATAAATTATATTTTACGTCCAGGTATAGGTATTATATTATATTAAAATACATGTATATTGTGAATTATATTCTATTTACGTGCTTTTTATTTCGTCCTAGTATTAAAATAAATAATTATATAATATTGTTGTAATATAATTATAATAATAATTAATATTGTTATTATAATTGACTAAAATTTTTGTTAGTTTACATGACATTGTTCTTCTATTCTTGCATTACGTGTTTTTAAATTACCATTGCAATTAAACACAATTCTAGTCCTGTGGAGTTAATCATCGAGAGTATATTTCTAGTCAAATGATATTTCCGTATCCACATAAACTCTAATGCTTTTTTATGACACCTATAGTTATTTTAGTTTGGTCATTATTACTATATCTGTCATGTATACTGTATAGTGACGATATCGACTATTTTAAACAATATTTAAAAACATCGTTCAAAATGTAAGTAAAATATGCAATAATATGCTTTATACTAAAATGATGCAAAAAATATGTAAAATAAAAATTTAATTATGTGTAGCTATCAATAGGAGGAAATTCATGGATATCCACTGTTCCAGATTTTTGAAGAAGGATAATTTTGTTACATATATTTACTACTTGCAAATGTTTCATTGTAAAATATTTTAATTCAATTTAAATATTTCCTATGGATTCATTTGAGTTAAAAATAAAACACTTAAACCTTATAAGAAACGTATTTCTTGTGTTTTTCAACCATATGTACCTATCAAATTGTAATATTGTAAAAAAATTATATTTCTAGTTTGATTCTTTTAACCATATTGTTTGGTAAAAAAACGTCCTAACATTTACTCTAATTTTACAAGACATGCAATTGAAAAAGGAAATTAATAGGTACCTACTTCATACCTGGCAGCAGTGGCGTATATAGGGGGGAGGCCCCCTAGGCCAGAGCCCATAATGAAATTGCAGGTTCAATTAAAGCATTGCATGTATATTTACACTGTTTACAGTTTTTCTCCATGATTAAGTTAGCCGGTTGACTAAAGTCATTTTTGAGGAATCAACAAAGAAATGTTATATTGACGGGACTTGCTTCAATGACTTATTGACTTTGATCTTAAATTCATAGTAAGATAACATTAAAATATATAAACGACACTGTCAATATTTTTTAAAAAAGAAACAAAAAAATTAATTTAACATAATAATTATAAAATTGAATTGCGCAATTTTTATTTGTACTGTATAATATGTCATAATTATTAATTATATAACCACGCAGCTGCTCCCTTAAAAATGTATAATTATGGCTATGCTGCTTGACTAGTGATAATTGATAAATTGGCCCATAGTGAAAATAATTCGTATATACGCCACTGCCTGGCAGTATATTCTACGTCAATAATAACATTTTTATATTTTAACAAACGCTACAATTTTATTGTGTACATATAATAAACTTATGAACCTAACATAATTCTACAATATTATACTATTATATATGTATCATAATCCTATTTACTGTTGCATTACCATTGTAAATTAATACGTAGATATAATGAGGTAAATGTAATATCAATAATAGCAATACCACATATAAGAAAGGGTGAAAATGCTTATTAATTATTTGTATAACACCAACTTGATCTATTTTTTGTACACCTTCTATTATATAGAAAAAAGTGATGATGTTTGATTATTTTTAGAGATGTTAAAATACAGTTTTTTTTTTGTTGTAAAATTACCGTACTATAGAAGTATTGTTCGTATTGAACCTTGCTGCATCTTAAAAGGCTTAAACTATCGGAAATGGAACTCTGGTTATAAAACTAATAACCAATATTTTAAAATGGATTCATAATTTCAGAAAACATTTTAAAAGCCACAATAATGCAAGAATTATTTTTGAGTAAATTACTGTTTAAACTCTTGCTACCAAACGTGGTATACTTAGTGGCTAGAAATAATTAAAATTTAAAATAATGTTCCTAGTTACATGCAATTCATAGAACCTAAATTATATTCTTAAACATCAAATTCATATTCTAATAATATTAAGTAATATTTGTTTTTAATACAACTTATATAAAATAATTGTATTCTATATGTCTACATGTATAATAGGTACTAACTCACATCTCTAATTATTTTGTTAAGAGGCGCATACCGCGACCTATGCATCCTTGTCTCCGCCTTCCAAATGTACAACATAGCAAAAACTGTATTGCGCGGGACAATTTTTCTCGCACCATATTTGTTGTAGAACTACCAAATTTTCACAACACGAAAATAAGAACTTTATCTGTGCAACAGCTTGCTTATTTTTGATTACACTATCAAATTATTTTTTATGAGGAAATGAAAAAAACAAAATGTTTAGAAGCAAATAACTTTTATGGTATTCATGTTATCTAAAATATAGGCACGCTGTTGCACGCATAATTTTCTACTTTATATTTTCAGAAATGTTGAAGCGACTACTACAAACAGAAAGATTAAAGTTGTCCCGCTCAAAACAGTATTGGCTATGTTATACATTTGTAAGACGGAGACCACACATGAAGGTGTGACGTCTTCTTAATGTTATTAGAAAATTGTAATTTAATTTAAATTGGATAATTATAAATATAATTTACTATGAGTTGTAAGTAACTAAAAAAAGGTGCATTATTTTAAATTAAAATTATTTATTGTGACTATTGCCGGGTTACATGAACAATCACTAAAACAATAGTGAGCTAATGACCCCTTAAACATGGTTTAGCGGCCCATGATAGGTCCATTAAATTTTATTGGCCCGTTAAATAAATAATTTTTTCGTGATCCCAGCATATGAGTCTTAAGAGAACGCTACATCCGAATTTTTGTCTTCGTCTTACAAGTGCGCAATGTGTGGTAAAATTATGATCAACAATGCATAGGCTCCCCCAAAAATATAAACCTGGGGGGGGGGGAGAAGCAAAGTCGAAAATATCTGACAACACAGTAAAAACTATTTTTGTCAAATAATAAAACAATTAATAGGGCATGCCCCCGGCACCCCCTACAATAGCCAATGCAAGGTTAGGTTTTGAGTGAGGCTACTGTGAAACTTAATGATAAAAACTTAATCTGTATTAGATGTCGTGTGTTGGTATTTTACCAAAGTTTTTAAAAGAGTTATGATATTTTAAAATAATTTTATATGGGTGCTTCTTAAAATTCAATGAAAATTTAAAAATCGCCAAACAACGTAATACGAACACATATTATAGTGTTCTTACCATTAAGTTTTATAGATGAATATATTTCAATTCACTCTTATTTATTAAAATGACGAACCTAAACGTTAATTGCTGCTTAGAGTAAATTAGCTATGTTACGCCCTTGTAAGACTGAGATAACAAAGAGGGTGTAGGCGTCCTCTTAGTTAATTTATTTTTTATAAAACATTTAAAAAATACAAATATTTAAATTGTTCGAAAATAAAAATAACATTATTTTTACAAATATATTGAGAGTGATTCACTTAGCATAACCTGAACACATTTTGAATGGGACCTATATTTCTAAAAATTATCTTACCCGTTCAACTAAAATTTTGTTATTATATGATTCTCATTTACTCAGACTAGCTTAGATCTATTTAAAATACTTTTTCTTTTCCTAAAGTTTTGTTTAGGTTTATTTTTAGTTCCCGTCAATGTATAGGTACTTAACATTTTTAGTACCTTTTGAAACGGTAAAAATTCTTCAATTTTCTTCAACAGCATCTTTGCTGGAAATTGAATCTTATTGGTTCTTTGGGGGGTCAAAAGTAAAAAATTTAAAATGATTTTCAAAAGTGTCAGGAAAATCAACGAAAAATCAAGGAAAAACTGAAATTTTTACGTAAAATCATTTTTTGAAAAAATCAATTTTATTTTTTAGTGTTACATGAATTTTTCACAATAATTATAATACCAATTTTTATGATCTATTCAATTATAAATATATAAACAGTTATTTTTTATAGACAATTTAAGTTCAAATGTTGATGAATTTACATATTAAAACAAAGAATAACAATCTTAGTTATTTTATTGTTTTGGGTGAAACAAATGCATATTAAGTAGTTCTGTCCTCGGTTCAAAAAAATTAAAAATTTAGTTATTTTATTGTAATTCAAAAATATTATTCGTGGGTACTAGAGACTTTTAGAGTAAAGTGTTATGTTTTTAAGCAGACAGTAGTACCTATACTGAAGCCAATTCAAAGTCATTGCGTAGTTATATACCTTAAGTGAAATATTCAATTGAATTTTTAAGTGTACTTACCTGAGGTTCATATGGCATACAGGAAATGTTTGCAACATAAAAACAGATACTTTTTAAGCACCACGGTTTATTAATTTATATTAAAATAAAGTTAGCACATTAAAACAAATTTTCAAAAATATCTGATTATTTAAATGCACAATACATTACAGTATGTGGTCTACTTTTCAAACTATTGGGCGAGTACTGAACATATTTTATTATGTTAAAAGTATCAAATTTAAAATTACTTTATTGTCATGTGATAAAGTTATAATACAAAAACATACTATTTTTCTTTAATAACGGTTCTAAAACCGTGCCTATGTATCTTTAAGATTTTTAAACTGCTATTATAAAAACGTATGAAGTACCTAACAGTGTTTTGCATTCAACAAATTAGGTTCTTTTTATGATGAATATTTTGATAAATAAGATGATATCTTGCTATCCATTTAAATGTACTAAATTTAAATGCAAGAATAGAGCAAAACTGCTTAATGGTAAATGGTTATAAGTAGTCATCTATATAATAATGTGTCAACAATGCTATTATTACAATGGATAAACTAATATCAGAAAATGTAAGCAATTATAATAAAACTACAAAAACTAAAAAAAAATCTAACCAAGAAAAGGTAAAGAGAAAATATGTATATAAATTGTACAAGATACCTTCCTTTTTTTAAGTTCTTAGTTCAATTTCAATTTACAGTTATGATTTTATTAAACTATACATAATATTATATATTTATATTTAAAATTTTTTAATTACAGTTCATAATTAAATAAGTTTATATTTTTTCAAAGTATTTTGTATGTCTACAATCTATGAACATCTGACTGCTGAATTCAAATAATTTTTCAGAATCACAAATATAGGACAATAAAAAGATCTTTTGAACTTCTAGTGGTCCAAATTTTTGAAGGGTACCCTTTTGCCACCCCACTTCATTCATCTAAACTTTAAATATTTAAGATTCATAAGCTACTAGTTCAAAATTCAACTTTTATGTATTGAAGTACCCTGAAAATATTCAGTTTTTCTCTTTAAAATGAAAAAGTATGTTATTATCTTTCGTAAAAATTTTTAAAATTATTAAGATAAAAATGCTTTAACAATATGTTTTGAAATAATTATAACTGTTCAGTTATGACTTGTTATCAATTCAAATTTCGAAAAATACTATTTCATAAAGAGCAAAGTGTACTTATTTATTAAAATATTCAAACAGTAATAATTATGATCAAAAGCACAATGCCATGTGTGTATGAACGTTTTGATCTGAACGACAATCAACCATTCAATAAATTTGATATGTAATTATTGTAAATTGTTTAATTTCTTTTTTTAGCTCTATTTTGATCCCAGTACCAGAACCATTACTATCAATGATTCATACAGATCGTTCTTGTATGCTTAAATGCAGCTGTTGTAACAGAATATTTTGTCTAGAAGACACTTTTCAGGTAGCACAAATAAAGAATCCAGGTGTGCAAAACCCGTGTTTGGAAAGTATGAAATCTGTATTACATCTTTGAAATAATTTATCAAAATTGTTAACAATAAGAATAATTAAATACAATATATGGTTAAGACAAAGCACAAACTAGTGTTTGAAAAATATATTGTTTTAACAAAATATTTATTAATAACCTATTTTTAAACCTAGTTTTGAATAGTCTTGATTGATATTTCAGTTTTTCAAGTTGTTAAACGTTTTAAATTGTGTTGTTAAACGAATATATATATATATATGTATAATTTTTTTATAGATGCCACTGACTTAACTGGTCCCAATTTGTGTTTGTGTGTTGGTTGTTACCAGGCCACAAAAAAACCAACTTCTTCAAAAAATCGTTCAAAACGTCACTGTATTATAATGAATTGTGACCAAACTGCATGTCATATTTTTGATTCAAAATTGAAGGATGAATTAAATACTTTTTTGATGGATAAAGTATGTAAAATACATATTTCAATTTACAAATTAAAATAAAAACCTTCATTATCATATGAATACTTTTAATTATATTATTAACATTAATTTAGTCTATTTTAATTTTAAGATTAAACATAATATATATGTAATAGAAATATATAATATTTTCATTTTTACAATAATATGTTAAGTATGATATTCTCCTACCTTTTTGCTACCTCATTTTTTATTAAGATTCGATACTGACCATTTTTAAGGTGTTCCATATAGGCAATAACCTAAGCGTCTGACTGTGCGTAAAATAAGTATCTGATCACTCCTGCACGTTCACATGCATGTCAAAAACGAGCTACGCGAATATTATTTTTTTACAAAATCATAATTATTTTTGTGAATTGCAATTAACTTATTCACCCTGCAAATTTCTAACAACATATTATTTGAATTTGTCATAAAATTTGTCTAAAAAAACAACCTCCATACATTGTTTAATTAATTTGTTCACTTCTATATTACTAATATTTTAAAATCTTCTTTGTAAAGTTTAACAGTTTAATTTCAAAAAAGTAGAAAAGTTCACTTATGTTTTCAAATGTTTTGTCCAATAACTAGGATAAAGTCAGTATAATAGTTATGATTTGCATAAGATCTTATTTTAAATTTTTTAAAAAACAGAAACGAGATCAGATCCTTTTATTAAGTTTTGAACTTTAAAAGCTTAAGTGAATTATAAGTTTATTCACTATCAGTTACGACTGAACCACCCCTATTTGAGAAAAGCCGTAAGTCACAAAATATCACAAATTGAGATATTGAGTGAAATTAATCAAATGATAGACGGATCATGTGGGAACATTCGCAAAAAAAATATTTTATTTTCCACTGTAAATAATCAGAATGAAAGAGAAATAACCATGCATCACTGGTAGCGTACAAACAGGTTTTTCTCGTTTTCTCCGAATTACCTTTTATTGACTTACGTCGTATCTCAAATAGGTGGTTCAACTATAATAGTGATATGTTTATTTGCAAAAAAAATGTCTATGTTGATGACATAACTTGTAGTGTAATAATAAAAATATTATAAAAGTAAGAGCTTGAACTATTTGCAACCCTCCAACCGCCAGTAGGGTACTTATACAACTGTATAAGTTACATGTATTGATAAAATAACAACAATTGATTGTAGAAAGGAAAATATGTTTTATAATCAAAAATGTTAGATATAACTGATTTTCAGTTATAAATACATATTTAGTTAGCCTATTTATGCATACAACTGAAATACACTACTAATACTTGTCCACCATAAATATTTTGGATTATGATTAAAATAAATACAAATTTACTCCGGTGTTAATTAAATAAGGAACTTAGTTATATCATTAACAATAAATAAGTTTACAGTTTATAAAATATTTTAATCTAAGTATGTTTTTGTTAATTTTAGGTCAAATTTAGAGTCCTGAATAATGAGGAAGAAGCATTGCATAAAATTTGTTTTTGCAATGCACATTATGATCAGGTTGTTAAACAATATTAGTAATATTATATTTGTGTACCTGCTGTGTCCTATATAAGACTCACATAGATAATAAAGATATGGATGGATCATAATATACAAGAAAGCGATGTACGACATAAGATAACGCTGGTTACTAAATTGGTTTGCATTGGTTCAAATGTGGTTGACTGTAGTTGTTAGTTGGTTACCGATAATCGTGGTGATTACTAACCATATTTAGGTAACCACTGCTGTACATTATACATGATTATATATATATCTTAAACCGTGGTACTATACCAATATAATGGTAACTAGCTTTCTCTTCAAACAATCGTGAATACAATAGGATAGGCCATCCATATCTTTAATATATATGAACACACATGTTTATTGAAGTTCATATTTTGATACCTGTCAATTGATTTGGAATATTCACTGAGATAGATAATATACATTGGCAATAATATATTATTTAAGTGGGAATATTATAAATAGTTATTTTTATTTTTATTTAGGTACTGTTAATAACTCAATGTGAGTTGTGTGGAAATCGATCGATGCATAAGTATCAATTGCACGAAGACAATGTGAGTGAATATCAATTGATTCTTGATGAAGATAATATTCCTGTCACAATAAAATATGGCATTCTTATTTGTAATCCATGTCACGTTTATATATTATTGCGAAGAGATAAAACTACAATAATTACATGTGAATTAAAAAAGCTCATTGACGCTTCTAAAACAAGGTACTGATTTTGTTTTAGATAGCAAATCTATATTATAGTATCAAATGAAAATAAATTTATGCGTATATTACTCGGTATTATTAAAAAATATTTATTTTTTCTATGGTTTAATGGGTAGAAAAATGTAAGTAACTTGGTACAATGACCATACGTAAAAAATCTAAAACATGATCATATACGATAATGCATTAGACATAATTGCTTTTATATGCGTATCTAACATATTTTACAATGTGAACTATAATATTAGGTATATTTTAATAAAGATTTAACCTGGGTTTGAGGTAAAATGCGTATTTGAGGTTAATACTTAAGCACTAGTGAATAATTAATTTATATTTATTTTTAGGATTATAAACAAAAATATATTAAAAACAAAAGGATTAGAACGTATTCAATTAGCAAAAAATGAAATAAATATGAACAAAAAAGAGGAAAACAATCAATTATTAACGGTTACATCTCTACCAACGAATAGAAGTAATTTTTCAACTGCTGATTTTTCTATGCCATCTAAGACAGTATCATCAGTATTAGCACTCAACACTATCACAACACCACCTCTATTAGTAAATTCAACAGCGACATTAATGCAATCAGTAACAACCGTTTTAACGACGACGATAGGAACAGCGCTGGCAACAGATAAAGCATCTCTGACAACGATTACACAACCAATAGTAAAAACGCCGGTGACGACATTAACGAAGGCAACGGAGGATATGAAATTAATAGTGAAAATAGGAAAATTAACAGCGTTAACATTAAAACGAAAGAGGCAACCGACATTTCTCGATGAAAATTCTTCTGTGCCAAGAACCAAAAAATATGTTGTAAGCCGGCTGACTGTATCTACTGACTGTAAAAACCACACTATTCGGGATCATAAACCTACACTTCCAGTTCAAAAATCAACAGTTCCTGGTGTTGAACTAACGAATCCTGTTGATAACCCCATAATTTCAATTCACAAACCATCATTCCAAGTTGTCAAACCTACGGCAAACGTAGATAAATCTATGATTCCTGATCACAAACGTTTGTATAATAAATCATTAGTTTTTTCATCGATTCTAAGACCGATCTTTAGTTCAAAATGGCCTGTACCAAAGAAACATAAGAAAACTTTAGAATCAGTTTCAACAGCGAAGAAACCAACTCAACTGCAAACGAATTTATCAATTCAGAATACGTTAGATTTACGGTCTACGTTACCGCGTACTAAGCTTCCCGAGTTGAGTTGTCAAAGAACTGGGACTACAATATTATCGTCTGCCACTCTAGACATGATCCAAGAGATCAAGGTTCCAATTGATAAACTTACGGTCTCCGATCACAAACCTTTATATAATAAATCAATAATTTTCTCACCGGTTCTAAAACCGTTCTTTAGTTCAAAATCGACTGTACTAAAAAAAAGAGAGAAACCTCCAGAATCAGTTTCACCAATAAGAGAACCAAAGCAACTGCAAACAAATCAATCGTATCAGAATATATTAGAGGAATGGTCCACGTCATCGCGTACTGAGGTTCCCAAGCTGAATTGCCAACGAGTTAGTCCAACAACATTGCCACCCGTTACACCAGACATGAACCAATTAGTTGAAAATCTTAATATTTCAGTTGATGAACCTACGATTACTGATCGTAAACCGTTGGGTAATGAACCAGTTTTCTCACCAGTTGTAAGACCATTCTTAAGTTCAAAATTTACTGTACTAGAAAAAAACGGGAAATCTCCAGAATCAGTTTCACCAATAAAAGAACCAACTCAACTGCAAACAAATAAATCGTATCAGAATACGTTAGATTCACGTTCTATATTATCGCGTACTGAGTTTCCCGAGTTGAGTCACAAAGGAGCTAGTTCAACCCCATTGTCATCCACTACACCAGACATGATACAACTATTTGAAAATCTTAAAACTCCGTATCCTAATGGGATAGCATTTATTAACCATCTGCTTAACTTGGAAACGTGCCGTAATCTAGGGACTTTAATTGTAGGAAATAATAAAACCACATACCGTCAACGAACATCTAATACTGCAACAACTTCTAATCATAACTTACAACGTTCTCCAAAACATGAGGAATATTAAATTACATCGTATTCTTACGATGACAGAAATGCCCTGACATATGATTACGATTTGAGTGACAAATGTTTACCATTAAAAGACTATAAAAATTCAGTTTCACACTTAGGCCCTGTCAAGAAAACTTCTAAACCCTGCAATATGCCTAAAAAAGTCCAATTTACCTAAAAACTTTATCAATAAACCGTTTCAATATCACGACAGTGATGGTTGCAAAAAACAAGACATTGGTTTATCCAAAAATGCTGCCATCGCCAACTACCCAGATATCACTATTGCTACTATCACCTCTACTATCAATATGCCCATCACAACCACTGTCGTTCGCTTTTTACACCATATCTGAAGCAATCACAACTAGCAACTGTCGAAATGGCCGCTGTGGCCACCAACGCCTCTGTCTTAATTACTGCCATCGATGGCTCTACAACGGCCATCAAGAACACTGAAATCCCTGCTGTAATTACCAACAAAGTCACCATCAACTCTGGCAAATCAGACATCACTTCCATGCTTAATGACAATACTACCGTCACTGATGCCGCTGCCGTAGAAGAATATGCCACCTTATTCAACACTACCGCATTAACTATGATTACAACTGTAGCTACTGCCACAACAAATGCAGACATTTCCGCAGCCATTGACGCTAATTCAGTTCCAGCTATCTCAACAGCTAAGATACCACCGCAGTTAAAATGAACACAGAATTGTTTACTATTACAAATAAAATCACCACCAAATCTCCAACTTCAGTAAAGGTTTCACAACAATTAACGCATCCACTGTCACCTCAGAGAGCACTACCACCACTGCGACCTTTCTGAAACCACTAACTGCATACACGATCTCTTACGCTTCAGAGTTGACGTCTAGTAAAAATACAGTAGACACTATCCCTCCAGTACAATGCGTGTCTACCAAGGGCGCCAATGCTAAAAAGTTCGTATTCCAATAATAAGAAATTCGTATCCGCAAATTCAATTAAAAGTATAATCTGTGATAGCAACAATATTTCCATGCCAATACCATCGGACATCGTTAAGCATCTGCCGCTGAACAATTATCGTTAATGTTGAGGAAGATAAGTAGGAAATCCGCTATCCATAAGCTAGAACATTGTTTAAAACTCATAAACCACAAACTGTTGATTACCAAAGGTTCTAAATCAGCTACAACATTTGTTCGGAAATTAAGACTATTAATAAAACCGGACGAAACACAATAACATGACAATACTCTTTGTTTTTTCATATTATTAATATGAAAGTTCCAGTACTAATTCTTTTAATGTATTATAAATACACATACAAAATATATTGAAACTTGGATGATTTTGTAAAGATAAACCATAAACATTCTACAGCAACCATGATATTAACTTCTTGGATACTTTAACTGTGTTGTAATTCAGTTAATCAAGTCATTAATTCACAACAATATTGATGTAAAATTATATTCACTTAATCAATCCTGTCATTGATACCTATATTTAGAACAGTGTAATAAAAATCAAATTTTCATGGCCTATTTAAAACTTTGATTACATTTTATGTATGACTTTGTTTTGATTACTTTTGAAATTCATAATTGTATGTGTACAATATCTGAATATTTTATGTACAAAACTATTAATTTAAAATCTCTTAAAAGTACAGTTATTAATTGTTGATTAAAAAAAATTAAACAATTTTACACAGTGTATTTTGTGTAAATATTATCTATGATATCGTAAAACTAATTTTTTCTCGTTCGTGTCAGGCGTGATACAACAATACACAATAAGTAATAAGATAAATAAAGTAAAATGTCAATACACTAGGTGACATGTAATATAAATTATAAAAAAAATATAAAATAAAATATAGTAAGTGTAATATTTGGTAATATGGATAGATGTTTTCACAACGTTATTTATGGATTTAAATTGTTTCGGCCCAAAAGCGGCTTGTGCCTTCTTGGATATATTTTGGAGTGCAGGTATTGGAACAAGCTGTGTATGAGATGATGTGTTGTCTGTACTTCCCCGCAGGAACAAAAAGTGTCTGTGCTATCTAGTAGCTCCCGGTTTATTAGATTATCTTTTGTTCGTTCTATTCCTGTCCTGAGTCTGTCTAATGTGCGCCAAACCAGCCATCCGTTATTTTGACCAAGTAGAAGTGACTGGTTTGGAACCCACCCAGAGAAACTATTTATCTGGTTTCTTTTCATCTGGTCGTTCTTTCTTCCTATTTCAGGGTATGTCGACGAGAACATTATAAACAATTCATATCAACTTACGAGTTATAATGGTTTCACTTGCATGGCCACGTCATCATACATAATCGTTCGACCTAACGGGCCGAAAACGCTAAAATAATACTTGATCACTTGTTGAGTTCAGTTTACTGATTTCCATACATTCTGCCCACGCAATTCTCGCCCTTTCAGGATTGTAATCAGAAACTTACATCACTCTACACCAAGTTCCGATATCATCGAGCTTAGCCACTCGGTTAGACATGCTGAAAATATCAAAAAGAACAAATCACCATTGCCGTTATTTTTCGAGGATCTTAATATTAAAAATTAGATTAGATAGATAGTAAGATTTACTTAGTGTCTACATTCACACACCGACTGACCAGTGTAACGAATGTGTAGGTAAGGGTGCATGCATGTTAGCGACTCAAGAGAGGTGGACGGGATCGCAGAGCAAAACTAAAAAATTGTCTGGTGAATATATAGGTGTATAAATGAGGTTGTGTGTACTTATAACCTAACCTAACTGGCAGAAATGTTGACTCAGATAATATTGTTTACTACATATTATGTATTTAAAGTTGTCTACAATGTATATTAAGTAGTAATATGTTGTACTGCACCATCGGAAACAAATCAAATACAAAATGGTTATTTGGCTCAGCAAATATTATAAAAAGAATAAGTACAGGTATAAGCTAGATCAGCCAACCGATTTAACAATAATAAAAATAATAATAAATAATAACTCACAGTTGGTCGATTCTCTGCTAGCCAGCCAATAATGGAACCGAGTAGGTTTGGTACGGGTTTGTATAAATGAAACGACATGTCTTGGTTTATGCCACAACTTTCTTACTACACTATAAACATTTCTGAATAACACTGAAAACATGCTTAAAATTAATCCTCGTTTATTCTGACACTTTGTACGTAAACAGAGGTCTAACAATGGTATTCCCAACTCTGTCCACCTCAATGATCAAAGTGCCACTGATCCTGAATCCATCCCCATTTTTTTCTCATCTTACATTAACTCAGTCTATGTGCCTTCCTCAGCAAGTATCCTACCTGTTATTCCATTTGCGCAGCATACTTTACCTTCTGACTGCATCTTTAGTATCGATGGCCTATCTGGGACCTTTTTGTATAACATCAGATCTATCCTCTGTTTTCCTCTATGGTTGCTCTTCAGGCGCTCAATGGATGATTGAATTTTTCGATCAATGCTTAAAATCAGTTCAGTCATCCCTGTGTTCAAATCTGGTGACAAATCTAACGTCACGAATTATCGACCCATCTCGATTCTAAGTCATATTGCCAAGCTTTTCGAACACTTAGTACTACAATCCATTCAGCCCTCGGTTGACTCTGTACTGGTCAACGAACAATATGGTTTCCGACCTGGACGTTCTTCCGTTTCGAACCTAGTTGTGTTTAATAATTTTGTCCTCGAGGCATTTGAAAATCGCTCCCAGGTAGACGTGGTTTTCACTGATTTTGTGAAATCATTTGACCGTGTCGACCACACTATCCTAATTGACATCCTCTATAAGTCCGGGTTTGCCGAACCTATTTTGTCCTGGTTTAAATCATACCTGTCCGATCGTGTGCAGTGGGTTAAAGTGCTTGGATCATAATCTGCTGTCGTCCCTGTTCCATCTGGTGTTCCCCAAGGTGGTCACTTGTCTCCCCTGCTTTTTTCGTTATTTATAAATGGAATTACGATGGCTGTTCCTAAATGTAAATTCCTTATGTTCGCTGACGACCTGAAACTTTTCCGAAAAGTCGAATCTGAAGCTGACTGTCTCGCCCCTCAGCATGAGTTAGATTCCATTAGCCTATGGTTAAGCACTCTTGGCCTCCAATTTAATACTAATAAATGCAAAGCTAATATCCTTCACCAGGCGCCGGTTGCCAATCGATTTTTCTTACACTATCAATGGTTCAGTGATTGATAGAGTTACAAGCAATAGCAACTTGGGCGTTCTTTTCACTGCCTGTCTTAACTTCCGCCCTCACATTGACTCCATCTGCTGCCGAGCCCTCAAATCGCTTGGCTTCATAATGCGCACCATGAATGAGTTCAAACTGTCTGGATCTCTCAAGACTGTCTACTGCTCTTTAGTCCGAAGCTTGCTAGAGTATGATTCTGTGCTCTGGGACCCATCTGTGGTAATTGATTCTTACCACTTAGAGCGAGTTCAAAGACGCTTTCTGTCGTCTGCAGCTTACATGCTAAAAATTTTCCATCCTCCTCATGACTATACTCCAGTATTGCAAGCACTTAACCTTACTTCTTTAGCAGATAGACGCGTTAAAGCTTACCTGGGCATTTTGCAAAAGTTAATCGATGGTTCCAGAAATGCCCCTTCGCTGCTCGACCAAGTAAACTTTAAAGTTCCACATCGGGCCACAAGGTCTCGAGTTCCTTTTACTGTACCTCTCCACTGCACCAATTACGGTAAAACCAAACCAATTGACCGCATGATGCGGTTGGCTAACGAGGACCCCAACTTTCTCAGTTTACCTTAATATTGTGTTATTATTTTGACATTTCTTGTATGTAATTTTACTTGTGTCCTAATTATTTTAATTTATATTTATTGTACCTGTAATTCTGCTGTATTTTTAGGCCATCGCCCCTAGTATATGTTAATTATCTTATATTACTGAATTATTGTTGTGTGCTGTACTAAATAAGGAATTTTTATTCCGTAAATTAATTAATAAATAAATAAATAATATATAGGTGTGTTTTACAATAAACGTTATGGCAACGACGGTCTG